ATGTAGAGTTTCCCTAGTCGTGCATTTAAATACAAACATAGGAAAGTGATGTCTGATTCATTCTGCCTTTCCTATTCCTGTCCCCTTCCTCCCTTTGTCCCACTTTGTCTAATCCAATGAACTTCTATTCTCCCCCTCCCGGCCCCCATTGTGTGTTAGCATCCACAAATCAGAGAGAACATTTGGCCTGTGGTTTTTGACTTAGCATGATAGTCTCCAGTTCCATCTATTTACTGGCAAATGCCATAATTTCATTCTTTTTTATGGCTGAGTAATAATTCATTATGTATATACACCACATTTTCTTTATCCATTCATCTGTTAAAGGCCATCTAGGTGGGTTCCTTAGTTTAGCTATTGTGAATTTAGCTGCTATAAACATTGATGTGGCTGTGCCACTGTTGTATGCTGATATTAAGTCCTTTGGGTATAGACCAAGGAGTGGGATAGCTGGGTCAAATGGTGGTTCTATTCCAAGTTTTCTGAGGAATCTCCATACTGCTTTTCATAGTGGTTGTACCAATTTGCAGTCCCACCAGTAATGTATGAGTGTGCCTTCCCCCAACATCCTTGCCAAGGATGTTGGCTTTTTGATGTGTACTGACTGCTACAAGCTTGTCTGGAGCCAGTGTGAAGTCTTACAGGATGCCTATTCCCCATAATGGCTGCCTTCTGTGGCCAATGGTAGGATGTAGTCTCTCTGGTAGGGACTTTGCTCTTCCAGGCTCCTGATATAGCTTTACTCTTGGCCCCTTCTCTAGTCCAACTTCCCTTTGAACTTCTTAGCTATTCTAAAATGCCCAAGCATTTTGGGGGTATAGTAATAGAAGAATAAGCTTTAATGTGGAAAAGGCTTCCAAATATTCCTTGATATTTTGTGACTGTAGGAATCATTGCAAGGTATAAAAATGTTATTGTGATTATATTTTTTAAAATACAAAAGGAAAATTTATCTTTTAGAAGGATATTTAGAGGTAATGTTTATGGACCGAATGGCACAGTATCTGGAATGTGTTTTAAACTAATACATGACGATGTGTAGTCACTATAGTTAAAAAGAAAAATCTAGCCTGAGGAGGGAAATGGATGGAGGGTGGGCATGACGTGACTAGCCAGGACCCCACCATCACTGTCAGAGTCCTGGGAACACGCAGGTCATTGGTGGATCTTAGTTACTTTTTTGTGAGCTTGATTTCTCATACTTAAACATTAAAAAATCTTTGGGATTATTCATGTTTCAATTATCTAAAAAGAATATCCCCCAGCTCAAAATGAGAAGGGCACTCCAAGCCACACTCTAGCATCAAACCCTGTATAAATCTACTTCGGGGTGGGAGTTCAGACGTCTCCTGAGGCTAACCCCCCACCACAATATTACCCATTGACTTTCTTTCATACCCCTCACAACCCTGTTCCTGGAGTTATCGTCCTCTCTTCTACTTGCCATTGTGTTCTCTGCCTGGCCCTAACCCCCCCGCCCCCCACCAGACATCCAACAGTCAGAGTTGGTCAGCAGCCTTGGCCAGCTTCTCTCCCAACACCAGTTTTGTTGGCAGCTGCCACAGCAGCCACTCTGCACCCCCCTCACCCGACCCCTGCTTGTGGGCCAGCAGGGCCAGCAGGTTCAGAGGGCCAGAAGGGCCAGAAGAGCCACTTGCCTGCTGCTCATGCAGCTCAGTCTCCCAGGTCGGCAAGGAGGCTCTTCCAGGTTCTCCATTCTTCCAGCCTCTATCCATTCTCCTTCAGGGGGTTTCAGACACTGTGGGCTAGGAGCTGGTGACCTTTCTGCTCTGTCCCGCCAGGCCTATCCCCTGCCCCACCTCCTCATCGAGGGAGTGGGAAGTCTAGATGTAGGTTTCAGAGCTTGTGTTAGGGGGTTTCTAGGGTGTCTTTTCATTTTAGTTTGTGTCCCTTTTAAGTATTCCAGTTGCCTGAAAGTCCCTCTATCATTTAGCGTCATGATTGCAGGTTTTCAGATGACTTGGCCACGCACTGTCTGTCCTTCTCTGTCACTCCTTTGTGGCAGGCACAGCATCTGGTTTGCATTTTCTGTAACCACAGGTGAGAAGGGCCTCTGGCCTCCACTCTACTGTCTTAGTGGTTCCTTGACCCTAACCCCATTCTGGCCCCATTCCCAGCAGGGCTCCTGATGAGCTACTGCATCACCACCTCCTTTCCCCCAGTGCTCTGTGACCTGCCTCAGGGATAGTGAAGCCTGGTGGCTTCATTCATTTTGACCTGAAAATGCTGTCAAAGGCCTGGGCTGGGCACTGATGGGAGGCTCTGGCTTTGGCTTGCTGGAAGGGAACCTGGCAGCATGCGGCGCTGGGCTTTGCTCCCTGGTGCCCAGCACTGGGCCGGCGGGGGCTGCAGGGTGCTCTCCTCCACTGAGGCGCCTGCCTCTTTCTCGGAGGCCCCGGGATTTCTTTGACCCCTCCGTCTGTGACGGGCATTGGCGTTTGCCCATCCTGAGCCCGCAGGAAGGGCACCTCTCTGGGCCTCTGTCCCTGCCTTCTCCTGGACGTCGGGACCCTCAGGACAGGTGTGCGGGCCTGCGCGGTCGGCACGCGGGGCTTTGTAGGTAGCTCCAGCTCTGCCAGGGTGCCCACCGGGCCGGGCCGGCGGGAGGGGAGGGCCACTCTTACACGTTCCTGCCAACGTCTGAAGTTTCAGTCCCAAGCACCTCGGGAAGGGAAGTGCTTGGAAGTCTCCAGACGGGGAGGGTGCAGCTGTTCTTTTTGGTGAGTTTTCGTGGGAGCCTATAGGTGCTTTTAATACAAGGGTGACCTGCTCACTGAAGGGGACCCAGGAAAGCTCTTGTTGTCTTGGTGGGAGGGTGGCAGTCTCCAGGAGACTGGGACACTCCGTCCTCTGCATCTCAGTCACCTGTGGTCCTGTCTGTGGGATGCCCGTCTAACTCTTCTACCGACCTGTCTGCTATCCATACAGACTTATGAATAGATTCCTATCAGATTCTGGTGGAGTCTTTTGCCAGATTGCGTGGGTACCTTTCCCACCAGGCCTTGCCTTTGCTCTCCTAATGGCCTCTTCGCATGGAACACGGGTTTTGATTTAATGCAATCGGTTTATCCACATTTTCCTTCAGGGTTCCTGCTTTCTGTGAGGAACCTTGAAGGAAATTCTTGCCAATTTCAAGACCAGGACAATGTTTCTTCCCAAAAGTCACATTATCCTACTTTTCACATTCAGGTCTACGATTTACTGAAATGGACTTTTTGGTATAGTTTCAGACAGATGGCCAAGACTCTCTTCCCCATGTGTATCTAATTGAGTCTTTATCATTTGTTTAAAAGACCATTCTTTCCACCCATAATGTGAGTTTCAAGGAGCTCTTGGTATTCGATCAAGTGAATGGAACATTTAATCATTGAGAGTACACTTCAGTTGAGCATTTTCTTATTTATTCTTTCTTGATGGTTGGTCTCAAGTGACTTTTTAAAGAAGGCATTATTGGAACGAATCCTAACATATTTTGTTCTATAAAGAATAAAATTCAACTCAAAGTGGATCCAAGACCTAGGTATTAAATCATAAACCCTGCACCGATTAGAAGAAAAGGTAGGCCCCAAACACCAACATGTTGGCTTAGTAACCAACTTCCTCAACAAGACTCCTAAGTGCTACAAGTAAAATAAAAAAAGAAATCAATAAATGGGATGGTATCAAACTAAAAAGCTTCCTTCAGAGCAAAGGAAACAAACAAAAGCATGAAGAGAGAGCCTACAGAATGGAAGAAAATCTTTGCCACCCACCTCTCAGGTAAGGCATTAACTTTTAGGATATATAAAGAACTCAAAAAGCTTAACACCAAAACAAAACAAAAAACAAAAAAACAAACTAACAAACAAATAACTCGAGGAATAAATGGGCAAAGGAACTGAACAGACACTTCTTAAAAGAAGAAATATGAACACTCAACAAATACATGAAAAAATGTTCAAAATCTATAGCAATTAGAGAAATGCAAATTAAAACTACACTGAGATTTCAGCTCACTCAACCAGAATGACAATTATCACGAATACAAGTAAACATAAATGTTGGTGAGAATGTGGGAGAAAAGGATACACTCATGCATTGCTGAGGGACTGCAAATTGGTGCAAACACTCTGGAAATCAGTATGGAGATTTCTCAGAAAAGTTGAAATGGAACCATCATTTGATCCAGTTATACTGATCCTCTGTTTATAGCCAAAGGACTTAACATCAACATACTTCAGTGACACAGCCACATCAATGTTTATAGCAGCTCAATTCACAATAGCTGAACTATGGAACCAACCTAGGTGCCCATCAACAGTCAAATGGATAAAGAAAATGTGGTATATACACACAATGGAATATTACTCAGCTGTAAAGAAGAATGAAATTATGGCATTCACAGGTAAATTGATGGAACTGGATACTATCATGCTAATTGAAATAAGTCTATCCCCCCAAAACCAAAGGTGGAATGTTATGCAGATGATAATTCACAATAAGGGAGGGGAGGAGGGAAGATAGAAGTACTTTGGATTAGACAAAGGGGGATGAAGAGAAGGGAGTAGGGATGGGAATAGGAAATACTGTGGAATGAATCTGACATAACTTCCTGTGTACATGTATGAAAATACCATGGTGAATCTCATGTTATGTACCTCCACAAGACTGGGAGCCTAACTAGAATAAGATACACTCCATGTTTGTATAAATATGTCAAAATAGATTCTACTGTCATGTGTAACTGAAAAGAACAAATAAAAATAAAAAATAAAAACAAAACAAAAAAGAATAAGTATCAAGATGTTGAAAATGGCCAAGCATTTGTTAAGTATGATAAAATTCTTGGTTATAATTCTGAATTGACTGTTACAGACCAAATAAAGTGTAGACTTTATTTTATTTTTTATTTTTTAAGAGAGAGAGAGAGAGAGAGAGAGAGAGAGAGATTTTTTAAAAATATTTATTTTTCATTTTTCGGTTACACAACATCTTTATTTTATTTTTATGTGGTACTAAGGACAGAACCCAACACCCGCGCATGCCAGGCGAGCACATTACCACTTGAGCCACATCCCCAGCCCCAAAGTGTAGACTTTAAAAAGTAAATTTTCTCTGGAGACTTGCATAAATTAGTGTTTTGGGGCAATTTAGATTAATTCTTGTTAATGGTGATGCAGATCTTATTTTATGAGGTGTACATTAATCAGTTGAGTAATTTGGGTTTATCTTCTATATTCTGAAGACCAATTTTGGGAGTGTAACAAATTATTTGGTATTTATCAAAGGAAACCTGGTTTGAAAATGCATCACACTATTAACATTTATGGTTTCTACATTACTAACATTCATTCACTCAGTGACTCATTTTAAGGGAACTTTATTTGAGATGATGTCATTTTTTTTTTGTTACCAGGGATTGAACCCAAGGGCCTTTTTATTTATTTATTTATTTATTTAATTTTGAGACAGGTTCTCATTAAGTTACTTAGAGCCTTACTAATTTTCTGAGGCTGGCCTCTAACCTGTGATCCTGAAATTATAGGCATGCACCGCTGTGCCCAGCAGAGATGACATAATTTTAGAGGTATTAGAAAATTGAAAATTTATGAAGAGTTTCACAAAGACAGCTAAAACTTACCTAGGAAGTGAGTTCTGTATACGTTCTAATGACAAATGTATGACATTTATGTTTGAATTTTAACATTTTTTGTGTAGACTTTAAAAAGTAAGTTTAAAAAGTAGATCAACCATTTTGTAGGGTTAGATTTATTTTAATAAAAGAAGCATAAAGTCAATATTACAAGTAGACTTCAAACATAATATAATTATAGACTAGTATTGGACAGACTTGCCATTAATCTTATTTTTAGCTACTAGGAAAGTGTCACTGGTATTAATTAGCCTTTAACATGGATTTTTGTCCTTTATTAAGTTTCTATATTACAGTGAAATCTAATGTATCTAATTTTTAAAAATTAAAGTGCCTAATAGTTCTGCCATCTAAAATGGTTGTGATCACAATAAGCCAGATGAATAAAGTTAATGATGAATAAAATTAATTTTTTTTGCATTCATTGAGCAGAAATTATTAGCTTTAATTTAAAAATCTTACTAATTCATGCTATATAAAATATATTTGAACTGGATTTTTACTTTTAGAATTAGATTTTTTTTCACAAAACTTAACATTAGTATATCTTGCACATATTTGCCTTTATATGAATTAACATTTTTAGCTCTGTTAAAATTACTTTAAGGTGAATAAATGTGGTGAAATTAGATCTGCCAAGACTCTTGCACCTTTTATTTTCACACCGACAAACCAAACTATTGTATCTTTCCAAGAGTCATATTACCTTATTTATTTGATGATTCCACTGAACAAACTAGGACTGAAAACTAAGAATTACCACAGCCTGACTGTAGGTCGTGAAGAGAGGTAGGCCAGGGCTTCCCAAGACGGGCTGTGTAGACTACGGGTTGGACAAGGCAGTGCTGTCTTCAAATTAAATGAAACGAAACAGAACAAAGCAAAACGAAAAGGAGTGCCATTAGTTTGGAGGATACAGGTGAACCATGCTTCCCAAGGGCTGAGACGGGCCGGGCCGAGCTTTAACAGGCTCACATGGTTTGTGGGTGGCTGAGTGGGAATGGGTGCGAGTTGGGAGAGACATCAGGGCAACACCAAGGGCTGGGGCTGTGTTTCCTCTAAGGTCACAGCTGAGCCTCTTACAGTCTCCCAAAACCCGAGTCTGAAACAGATGTGATAATTCTGGTACTTTTCTCCGTTTTATACTTCCAGACTGAAAAGTTACTGTGCTCCTGGTTTCTGTATGGGAGGAACTGACTCCTTCCTTCTTCCAACAGTTGTGAGCACCTCCTTTTCCTTCAGCACTGAGCAGCGCTGCCCTTGATATTCCCCAGCATCGGGACCCTTGACTCTCTGCCCTGACCCGCGTGTCTTGAGTTGCCCTCCCCTTCCTGACCACTCTCAGCACCTTACACCATTTAACCTCTTCCTAGCACCTGGCACTATCTGAATTCCCTGGCTTGGCCCCCTGCACTCAGGCCTCGAGACATCAGGGACTATGCCTCTTGTGTTCTTGGTGCCTGGGCCCTCCAACAGTGCCAGCACACAGTAGGTCCTCCAGAGACCCAGCCTCTGTGGTCAGTGAACTTGCCTTCTGAAGGGAGAGAGGTAGAAAACACCTTTCCTTCTGTCTCCAAGTGCTCCACTTCCCACTGTGTGAGGCCCAGGTTGAATGAGCAATGGGGCCCTGTGGACCCTGAGAACTGGCTCTAGGACCTGGACTCTGTTCCTGGGAACACATGGGAGGAGAGCGTCCTGATCATTCAGCTTTGTCCCCGGTGTTCTGGACTATGTGGAATCCTCCCTCTGTGCTAGGCACTGTGTGAAATGCTGTGTTTACAAGGATATTCTATGCAGGTCCATGGCTGCGGCCAGCGTCCCTTGATGGTGGGATGTGTTTTGAGAAGCGTGTGGTTAGGCGGCTTCATTGAATGAACATTGTGATGTGTCCTACATAAACCCTGCTGGCTAGGTCACTCGCCAGACCAGCCTCCATGTGCTCATGAGCCACAGTAGACAGATGCATGAGGTGTGGCCAAAAGTTGCGGCAGGCTGTTCTATTAAACATTTTCTTAAAAAAAGTCAGAAGAGAACATTCCAAAATATGACAGAGGGTGGCATGTGTTCTGAACATGATGGCGTGTGCTTGCGTGACTGGCCCTGCCTTGGTGTCACCACATACATGAGAGCCAGTTCTGTGGTTCAGCATCACGAGGGCCATGACATCACCGGGTGACCCAAACTTCCAGGTCCATTGTAATTGGATGGGACCACCACGTGGGTCGTCTTTCATGGCTGCGTGGGCGTGGCAGTACCTGCATGCTAGGTGTTATAGATTGGTTTTCAGCCAAAGCACAGTTTCACCACCATTAGTGAAGACTGAACATGGAATATGGGAGTCTGAACAAAGCAGCATTCTCTTGTGAAGAGCACTTGATTAAAAGGCCACAGAGCTGAGTCCAGCCGATGATGAGCATTGACCATTTACCAGCTATGTACCTCACAGGACAGGTGGAAACACTGTGGGTGAGGGGTCTATGCTAACTATCCAAGACCACTCAGCTTGGATCTTGAACCCAGGCCCTTATGATTCCAAAGTCAAACATTTTAACCCATTGGAAATGCTCCTCCAGGTGACTCTGGTGCTGATTTGTTGGAATGGCTGTGACTTTGGGTCAGACCCCAGCTCTGTCACCTGAGACGATGGGATTGACAGTGTCTAGGATTCTTGTTGCTCCATGATCGACTCCCTAGGGACCATCCTGGATCTCTTGTTGATTTATCCCCTGTCATTCATCTTTCTACTTTAAATTGGATTTACTCCCTCAAATGGTGAGAAACGTGAATAGAAATCATGACCTGGATAGGCCGTGTCCAGGGTGACTGGGGTGGAGAGCAGAGGGCTGGCTCCCGACCAACTGGAAATTGAAAAAGCACACAAGTGATGACAACCCCAAGCCAAGCTCCATCAGTGTGGAAGAACTGGAGATCACTGCAGAGACGACCAGGGCGTTTGAAGGTCACGCGAAGGCCCAGTGAGAACCCTAGGGAAATAATAAAAGGCATGTTAGCAACCAGTACATGTGCGGGGTACTGTAGGGCCAGGATTGAGAACGGAAGTCAGCCAAGAAAGACCAGGACTCGGTGTGTCATCTGTGGAGAGCACATTGTGCTGAGAATAAAGGCAGAGCGAGGAAAGCAGGGCAGTCGGGTGACACCTGAGCAAGGCAGCGGGTTGAAATGGAAAGATCACGTGCCATCTGGGGACACTTTCTGGGAAAGGTGTTTGCAGAAAACCCCAGCTTTTGTAGATAAATCACTGGGAAGTCTTTCAGGGGGTAAAGACGCAGGTCACGTTTATGTGGATAATTGGATCATATTTATTTAGGGCTTTAAAGGATGCAGTTAGTAATTTGCTGTCTTCAGGTTTTCATATCAGGAAAACAGAGTATAAAGGGTGAGGTTTTAAGGGAGGGAAGGAAAAAGGCTTAGCTGGCTCGGGATAAAGAAAAAAAAATAGAAACCTTTGTTGTGCAATCCTATGCAACACAACTGCAATAGATCATGAGCAGGGAGCCCCCATTCCCAATCCCGCAGGCCTTGCCATTGCTCAACTCTGAAATATTGTGGCAAAGTTATGCAGAGTACAAGTTGTTATAGACCCAGAGACATTCTTGTACAGGAATGCTTTCCCATGTTGTAAATTTGATGAAATTCCATTCCTTTTTGAAGACTTTATCTAGTCAAAACTGGAGTCCGATAATTAGATACCTGTTCATTAGCTTTCTAATTTTCTCCACGAGGATGAAAATGAGGCTCATTTAAGTAAGTTGGGCTTAACATAGAGAGACGAGTTTCAAACCAGAAATGCAGAAAATAAAGCCAGGACTCCTATCGACATGCAGATCAGGAGGCAGAAAAACAAAATTGACCTTTCTTGAGTCCTAAATCCTATGAAATGGGGTTCTGAAAACGTGCCCCAACTGTAATGAGGAAAGAGCCAACCAAACCTGTTCGTCTGGGGGAGGAGTCTGCGAAGATGGAGCAGGAATTAAAGAAACCACTTTTGAACGCCTGGTGGATGATGTGAGGTGGTTCTCAAGAGACAGAGGCATTAATAACAAGGTGGGAACTTGAGACACTTGAGAGGTGATGGACGTTTGGGACACAATGGCACCTTCCCTAAGCCCAGCAACACATGTGACCTAGTGCTTAATGTACAGTCTCTGCAGCGGTTCTTCCTTCTCCCTTCCTCTGGCCCCTGGTAGTGAATGTGGCCGAGAGAGACTATGCCTGCCTCCTCCTCTGTCTCTTTGATGGGACCAAACCAAGGACTTGAGCTTCTCCAGGGAGGAGAACAAACATTAATAGGACCAGGACAAATTGTGTTAGGAGTCGGGAGAGCATAGTCTGTCTATTAAGTGCTCTTTTAATCCCAGGAACTTTGCATTAGAGATTTCATTTTATGCTCACAGCAATTCCTGTCCCATGTTGAACATGGGAATCAGAGAAGTAACAGTTTCAACACTGGGCCAAAGTCCCATAGCTGCAAACATGGCAGAGTCGGCACTTACCTCCAACCAACTTCCATTCTTTCCTAAACCATCCTATCTTGAAAATCATTGCGCAAGTTGCTGAAGGGCAACTCTGTGGTGGGTGGAGGTATGATCGCCAGGCTGACTGACCTCAGGAATGACCTAGAGACGCCCCCTGCTACCACCCTGCATTCCCATGTGTAAAACAATAATGTCATTATTTTTCTTTCTGCAAAGTTAATTCAAGAAAAATTCCAGGATATTTAAATATTTAGACAAGCAAAAAGAAGGTGAAAAAGTGATCCAAATCCTGCCACAGAGATATTCAGAGTTAACATTCTTATATTTATCTCTCTAATTCTTGTTCTGTGCTTAGATATTAGAACATACTATATCTATACAAATATGTATTTTACAAAAGGTGATCATGATGTGTATACTTGATTTGCAACCTGATTCTTGCGTATTTAAATACATTGCATATGAAAGAAGTTTTTTACCTTAAAGTTAGTAGGATTGGGTTCTATAGCAATATTTGGATAAATAGTTCATACCCATTAGAACTGAAAGTTTTACAAAATTTATTAAATATATGGAGATATCAGAGACGAAGTAAAACTACTACTTAATTATTATTAACTAAAATGTTATTTAGTTATATGTACTAAAGTAATACTTACTATAGGAAGCATAACAGCCTATAATCACACAAATTTGATGTCCAATGCTAATATCAGTGACAAAATGGCTGTGTACATGAAGTCCAGCCCTATTTCCTTTGAGACAAGAAGTTTTATATACCTATCATCAGCAACTCAGAGCAACACAGTACCTTCTTTTCAGACATGGTGAGACCTCAGATTACCTGCTGCTGCACTGGAGGCCTGGCTGAGAGAAATATTCAGAGAAACTTAAGTGACATGCCACTCATCTACTCCCTGGGGTATCCTAAGTTCTATCCTTGGGTCAAATAAGGTCTTTAGATTATAACGTTTTTTGTACATCTTGAGACATTCAGTGACCTGAGGATCCTTGTAGGAAGCAGGTTTTTTAAAATTCACTCTACATTTACTGCATTGATGCTACAGAAGCAACGGGTGCCACATTGCTTGGTGACCCTGACATTAAACTTTGTGAGAGAATTTGTTATAGATCTCAGTGCTGTGAAAAATGGGCTGTTGAGAAGGGTATGTGGTTCTTCCTTCACTGTGACAGCTGACTTGATTGATTATGATCTCCTCATCTCCAACCCTGAAGCTCACAGCCAAATCTGACAACAAATCAAGGAAATTATGTTAATCCTCAATATTAGAATGCTTGGGTTTTCTTCTTCCCCTGTATTGTTTGCTGGTTTCATTTTGTTACCCTCATTGTTGTGTTAGTATAGTTAGTTCTTCCTATTTCTTTTTTTTTTCTGTCTTAGAAAACATAAGCAGATATCTTTTTGCTGAAGGAATGTAATATGAAATATTGTGCCTTACAACCTGATTCCTTTATTTTTTTCATTTTGCTTTGCCGTGTGGGTGTGATTTTTTAAGGTTTCTCTCCTGATCCTTGGACTAACTCTCCTTTTAATAATTTTACCTGGCTCTTAGTGAACTCTTTGACCTGAAGTCTAATCTCTCTCTTTAGGTCAGAGAAATTTTTTTGTTTCTTTGATGATTGCTACGCCTTCAACTCTTCTTTCATGGAGCTAAGTTTTTCTTGGAATCAAACACTCCTAAGGTGGCCAATTCATCTAATTTTCCTGGACTTTTCCAAATTTTAGCACAAGTAGGACAGTTGATCAGCTTATGTTTAACTATGTTATCCAGAGACCGAGGACATTGGTTTTCAAACTCTTCATAGTGACAGAGGAAGTTTTTTGTTTTTTTTTTTTAATTTCGGATCCATTGTTAACTGATATTTTGGAAATGCAATAAAAATAAATATAACAAAAATAAAACTAAAACAACATGCAAAATACAAGCCTGGTATTTTAAAAGTATAGGTTCAAAAGAAATAATATTACTTTGTCAGATTGCTTTGGAAGCTTGAAATGCTTATCCTGTCTCTGTTGGTAGCTTGTAAAACCTGCCCTTGTCCCTGAGCAGCGGCTCCTGGACTCCTCTGCTCTTCCCTAGTAATCCTTCCATCTTCCCCACCCACATTCCATTCCCCAAGCTCTGCTAAACGACTCTTTGTGTTTGGATCCCCCATTAGCTAAGGCTAAGCCCTGAGCCCCTCGAAGGCAGGGATGGAGTCTCATTTCTCTGTGGATGGCAGCTCCTTCACGCTGCCAGACAATTGTGTGGCCTGTTGTGTTCATGGAGTCCTTATTGGGACAAGAAAAATTACAATCAAAGTTTGAGTTGTGATTGTTTTAAGCAGGGTGGGATTATGGGGGCTTTCCTTCTTTTTTGTTGCTTTTAGTATTTCCTAATTTTTTCCCAACACACACATTTTAGAGATGGGAAAATGTAAGCACTACTTCAACAACTGACATTGCAGAAGAAGGGATAGCAGTTACCTTGCCGTGGCTCAGGGTCAGTAAAAAAGTCCCCTTTCACTGTGTAGCTGGATCATAGGACAGAGGCCAGTCTGTGGGAGAAAAAGAAAACAAGGATAAACAATGCCTGCTGTCGCCGAGGAACAAGGTCCTATTCTCATCCTACTTGGACTGGGAAAACCGCCCAGAGATTAAGATGACTAATGTTAGAAGACAGTCAAGGAAATGCAGTGCAAATTTCCTCCTGGAAATAGAGGGTAGAAAGTGTTTCCTTTTCACTCCGTGTCCTTTTTCAAGTGGCCAGTGGTGTAGTGGAGCCCAGTCCCCACCTCCTCTGCATCACCCAGACGCTGAGCGATGGGCCTGACTTCCCCTCCCAGACAGCAGTGCTGTTTGAACTGCAGTTAATCACAGCCTCAAAGTGGCTGATCTCTGATGCACCACATGACTAATTTAGCAGCTAAGCAGTTTCGTGGCGAGCCTGGTGTCAGTGGAATTCCTGTCACCTTTCCAACAGTTAAGTCATATTGCATAATTGTGGGGTGACATCACGGGGCTACGAGATTATTGGCTGAAGACAAAGAAAAAAAAGTTTCCTGGACTGTGAGCCTTTCCGGTATCTGAGGGAGAGCCTTGTCTGTGGCTGCGGTGCAGCCAGAAAGCCAGAGAGCCCCAGGGTCTGCAGCAGGCTGGGAGGCAGCTCCGTCTCACTGCGGCTCTTCCCTCCTGCAGCTGCCAGGGTGCCAGTCCTGCAGGTCTGGGGAGAGAGAACCCACAGAACGGTGTTCTCTTGAATTGAGGGCACTGGACTTTGTGAGACTTTGCAGTCTCCTCCTGGGAAGCAAGAGTTCACAAAATGTAGTTCACATCTGCTATACACATTGACGCTGGACAGATGGTCAGCTGGGACCCCGTGAAAACTCTGATGGCTAAAAGATGGCTTATTTCCAAGGGAACTGATAGTCCAGATTAACCACCACTGAATAGTTAAACTAAGTATTTTGGATTGTACAAAATATCTTGCTTTAAAAGAACCCATAGGAATGCCTGGAGCTGGAGCTGTGATAGACTGGAATCTATAATGATAATGGCCAGTGTTTGTTGTTACCAGGTTCCTGTCGGTAATTTGCATACACTAGTTCATTTAACCCCACGAAGTACACACTGTTATCCCCAAATTACAGAGTAGGGATTGGAGGGTCTGGGGTCAAACAGGTAAAGTTCAAAACCATGACCTGAGTCCACGTGGTTTCGCACCAGAGGAGGGGTCTTAGCTGTTGCCCTCTGTACATCCTTTGTGATAATAGTGACAGCAATAAGCACAACTTCTATGGCAGCCACTTCCATCCACTGAATGCTTGTTGTGTGACAGACTGAGTTGTAAGCACCATCTTGCTTCATCAGCTCTGTGAGCAGATACTGCACTAGAAATCACAGTCATCAGATAGTTTTAAAAAGTGAGGCACAGAGAGCACTGGTCACCAGGAAGTAGGTGACAAAGCAAGAACTGCTCCACCCAGATCCTGACCCTGGGATTCTCACCAGGGTGCTGCCCTGCTGTTCAGCAGCTGCTGTTTACTGAGTGCCCCACGACAATCCTGATCATAGATACTCTTAGCTCCAATCTGTAGATGAGAAAACTAAAGTCCCACCAGATCCCTGCAGAGCCAGACCCCGCACAACCACTGGACTCCATCGTACCAGATCCCAAGCCCCAGTCCCCTCGCAGGTGGGCAAAGGTGAGTTAGGTGAAGGGCTGATGGCTCAGGAAGCCCCGAGTACACAGTGACATCCTAGTGTGGGCACCCCCAAAGAGAGGGGCCAGGTAAAGAGAGCCAGAGGAGTCCTGGAAGTCAGCAATCCACGAAGGATGGCACTGAGACGGAGACAGCCTGCTTTGACCGCCTCTGCCTCTGCCCATTCTGGGCCACCTCCAAGTGCAGCCAGGCCCCCTCTGCCCCTCCACCTTCCTTCCTCTCTTCTTTTCACTGCTGTTCCGGAGGTGCACTCCCTGCTCCCCTTCCTCCAGTACAGAGCCAGGGAGCTGGAGTGCTGGGTTCTCTTCCCTCATGAGGACTCCCCCGCCCAACACTCCTCATTTTGCAGCACACACTCAGTTCTCTGGAATGCGGCCACTCATAAACATGACACACATAATCAGAGGGCCTTGGAAGTGCATGCAATTCCTGAATTTAACTCTGTTAAAGGGCAAGTGTGTCAACACCACACATGTGTAACCTGTTAATTTCAGAGTATGGGTACTGCCTTCCAAAGCATAATTCCAAAACTCTGAATTCACAACAATGAGCAAAAATAAACAAAGTTTAAAAAAAATTAAAAAATGGTTTGAATATTGCAAAAATATTTACTGCACAGTTTTCAAGAGTAAAGATCCCCTGTGGTGAATTTAAATTCTTATTCTATTAAAGGAAATCGAATGTATCCATTTAAGGAATATTTATTTTGGGGATGTGGGGAATAAAAATATGTATGACATGTCTTATATGTAACTAAATACTTTAAAAATGAGGTTAAATGCCCTAAGAGTAAAAAAATATATATATTAGCTAATGGTGTTTAAATAAAGAAGCAAGCGCTTGGTCAGGAAAATCTACTGAAGGAGGAGATGTTGATGGAGCTAGATGGACTGGTGGAGTGACAGTGGTTGACACCAGAGCTTAAGAAGTGGCCGTGGAGGGCTGGGGATGTGGCTCAAGTGGTAGCGCGCTCGCCTGGCATGCTTGCGGCCCGGGTTTGATCTTCAGCACCACATACCAACAAAGATGTTGTGTTCGCCGAGAACTAAAAAATAAATATTAAAAAAATTCTCTCTCTCTCTCCTCTCTCACTCTCTCTTAAAAAAAAAAAAAAAAGTGGCCGTGGATTCTCTGGCAGGCACACAGCTATTAAGCAATACGAGAATCTCATGTAAAAATCTACAAGGATGATCAGATATTTGTTTAGCTTTTATAGAAAAAGGAAAATCGTAACATACTGATATCCCATGAGCTGGCCATCTCCTGACCCCAGGGGTCACCCCTGGAGAGAGATGGAAGAAGACGCAGGAATGTGAACACCTCATGGCACCCAGAGGATGTGCTCACCTAAGACTCACTCTGGCAACTCGCAGTGGACAGGATGTATGCCTGGGCTGTCTGACCCTCCTAGTAACCTGAGGTCAATCACCCATCTTCCCTGTTCTCAGTTTGTAGTTCTGAAAAATGATGGGGTTCTTCTTTTGCAGGGAATGAGAGGGGGAAAATAATCTGTGGAAACCTCTCTCAAGGGACACACGTCCCTGTCACCATACCTGTTGTACCACATTACAGCACTGTTGATGATCCTAATTGAGGTGGGGGGGGGTGACATTTTCTAGCCAAGGCGACTTCAAGATGAGTGAATTTGTTCAGTTCTTTGATCACTAGTGCATTGGGATGTGTAATCCTGATGCCATTCCTTCATTCCTTCATTCAGGCTTTGCATGAGGCCTGCCGGGGCCGGGAGCTCCCCCCATGGCTGCTGCCTCCTGGCAAGCGTGTGCCATGTAGTGTGGTACAAAAGGTATGGTGACAGGGATGTGTGTCCCTTCAGAGATGGATTATAAAAGAAATGGAGGCTGGCGCCTTCTCTTCATATCAGCTGCCTACTCATGGGGACGCTCAGCAAGCGTCCCATGGTGAAGAACCAGCCTCCTGCCAACAGCCCAGGAAGGTCTGAGGGTGCTGTCAGCAGTGGTTTGAGTGAGACATTTTGGGAGCTCAGTTACGTCTTCAGGTGACAGCGAATGATGGCGACCCTGGCTGACACCTGGATTCCACCCTGAGCCAGGACCCATCTTGACAAACTGCCTCCACATTCCTGGCTCCCAGAAACAGGGGGTATAATAAGAGTTTCTCACTTTTACCTGCTAGTCCTTGGGGCATTTTGTTCCACAGCCATAAATAACTGTAGGCCCGTCCTCTGTCCATTCCTATGTCTGAGCCTGGGGATGAAGACAGCTTATTTAGAGGAGGCCCTCTAGAAGTGAAGAGTAGTTAGGAAACACAGAAACCACCACAACAAACCCAAATCTCGACAGAGGAACACCTAGGACAACACAGCACACTGTGCTCTGAGGGACGTCCCTATCGAGGTGACAGGAAATAGGATGATGAACCTTATCTGGAGACCAGAGAGGTCCAAATAAGCTTTATAATTTGGAGATTTCTAAATTTGTCTCTAAAATAACATCAGTACTTTTGGGGGGTGGGCGGAGGGGGAGAAAAAAAATACTCTGAAGGGTTTGTGCAGAGACCCCAAGAAGGAGACCAGCTGCGCCATGTTCAGTTCCATGTAGCTGTGACGGAGGAGTTACCTGAGGGTTCCCCGGAGAGGGAAGATGGATTTGTCCTCAGACATGAGAAACTTCAGCAGGTTTCGAGCAGGAGATGGACAGTCAGATACGTGTTCCAGACAGACAGCTGTGTGGGTTCACTAGAAAGGCCTGGTGGGCCTCGAGGGAGAAAGGGGTAGAAGCTGGTCTTCCCTACAGTTGCTAACCATCCTAGAGACGATGGCTTCTGACGTGTTGGTATGGCTCATAAGATAGTCTCATTTTTTAAGGTTTCATTTTGACATAATTGTGGATGTATCAGGAAGTTGCAGAACTAGTACAAGGAATTCCTATACACGCTCCACCCTGCTTCCTCGTGTGTTCATGCTTTATGTGACCACGAAGGTCTTTTGAAATCAGAACGTGATCACTGACACAGGGTTAGCTAGCCTGCTGGACTTCTTAGAATCGTAGCAGTCACTGGGTTAATGGAAGGTTCTGGTCAGAATTGTACCTGTGTCCTCTTCATGTCTCCTTAGTCTGGGACAATTCTATAACCTTCCTGTGCGTTTCTCAACCTTGACACTATGGAGGATGCACCTACTTGTTTGTGGAATGTTCCTTGCTTTGGGGTTATTTCTCTCATCTGATGTTTCTCTGTGCTTGAATTTAGGTTAGACATCTGAGGCCGGGACATCCCAGGAGTGATGTTAGGTGTCCTCAGGGCATCACATTGGAAGTTGTGGCTCTGATATGTCTCATTATTGATGAGGCTAATTTTGATAGCTTGGTCTTGGTGGTTTTGGCTAGGTGTTCCTCTGTAACAATTATTGTAAGTAATATTTTGTAAGAATATATGTTCAGACTGTACACTTTTCCTGTTTCTCATCAAACCTTCACCCAGGAATTTTTTTTTTCTTGGTACTGGGAATTGAACCCAGAGGTACTTAACCACTTATCCATATCCCCAGGCTTAAAAAAAAAAAAAAAGACAGGATATTTCTGAGTTGCTTAAGGCCTCACTAAATTGCTGAGCCTGCCTTTGAACTTGTGATCCTCCTGTCTCAGCCTCCTGAATTGCTGGGATTACAGGCGTTCCATCAGGAATTTTAAAATTATTGAATTAAAATCACTTCATTGATGCCCAAACTAATGATTACTTGGCTACTTACCAAATGGTGAAAAATCATCAGGTCT